TCTTCTTCTTCTTCTTCTTCTTCTTCTTCTCAGAATTGTTTATCTAGTGATCGACGCGTAATCAGCATAGTTATCCATTTAAAAAAGTTAATGTCATCAACAAATTTGTACTCGTAATATCATTCGTATTTTGACGATAGTATTGCTGAGCATATTGGCATAACCTGTTTTCTCGAGTTCCCACCATCACTTTTTCACCGACTCACTCAGAAAGACTGTGTATCCTTTACACATCAATGTGCACAATTTTTGTATGAAATAAGTTATCCCCGGTGACCTGACACTGCACTGGTGACAATCAAGAGGCTTCATCACTCATAGAACGGTATTAATTGTATGGAAAGGCAAACAATAGTGATCGAATATTTTAAACTTGTACCCCTTCCAAAATAACTGTACTGGTCCGACAAGAATTTATCGAAAACACTCGTATGTTTGGCAACTGGTATTCTGAATCCTTTGATGGGAATTTTCACAACTCAATTTAACCTCACCCCCCTCCAGGATATTTTTCTTACCTAAAAGGGTCTTCTACTGCAGGTAATACTCATATTCTGCCAAAGTGCTAAGCTCTTAAATCTGCATTCAACCAATTCACGGTAAACTACCTTGCAAAGCACTTGCCTTTACGTACTCATTCTCCATGTCTTCTTTGCCATTCCCTGATAATAAATTTAAACTTTGCACCTCGATGCATTTAGAATCGTCATTGAGCATGCTTAGTCAGATGCTAAGGACCTAAGTCCAACTTTCTGCTTCAGGAGGGGCATTACAGTCGACAAGATCCTTCAAACAGACCCCATTTCCAGCTTTGTGGACGGCACGAGTGACAAGGCCCTGATGACGTTCCCCATCGAACCTCAACTGAAGGTCCCGGATGAGCAAGACGACGATAGCGATCAGAGCACAGTAAAAGGGGAGGAAGTGGAAGAGCGTGGAGAGGAAGACAAGGGAGACTCTTGGTTCGTGTTCGATGATTTTCCACGTTCATATGGAATAAGCAGAAAGCCATTATCGGCAAGAAATATGCCCTGTGGAATCATTTCCGAGCCGAGGGCAGTAGTTGCTGAGACCTCCGGTGAATTTGATCATACAGGTGGAAAACTGATAATCCCTGAGCATGGTGTGACGCTGGAAATCCCTGTTGGTGCGCTTCCCGAATCGTCGACGAAGCAGACGCTCTACTTACGGGTTAGTTGGCTGTGTTAAATGGAATTATTACTTGCTATTTACGCAGTAGCCAGTTAGCCTTCGTTAAATTAAGCATCGGGCGTCTGTGCTTTGATCTTATATACAGGGTGTCCCAAAAAATGTATACACATTGTAAATAGCTATAAATGTGGTGTTTGCCTTAATTTCATTGTTTCAAAAATTTAAAAGTGTTCAATAGTATCGTTTTGTTGTTTTTTCAGTGCATGTTCTCAAATTGACGTCCATTTCGATCCAGCCATTGTTCTAAATACCACTCGCCATAGTGTACTTTTCGGTCTAAATCCTCTTCATCAAGAGCATGCACTAACCTTGGGATATAACTTTTCCAAAGGAAATGTTGCATACTGCGAGAACATGCAGTGAAAAAAACAATGAAACGATACTTGTACATACATTTGTACATTTTTTAAATAACACCATTATAACAAACACCAAATTTACGATCATTTAAAATGTATACATTTTTCTGGGACACCCTGTATATCTGTGAAAACGAAGTAAATAGCCTAGACCTTTGGCAACTTCTAATCAACATTTTTACTCAGGTCTATGACGGGAAGGAGGGGCCCTGCGGCAGTGACGTGGCTTCGGAGAGTGGAAAGCCGCATATCGTCAGTCCACTTGTGATGTGCGGACCAAAGGGGCTTCATTTTTTAAAACCAGTAGTTCTCACATTGCCTCGCTTTCACACCCATCGACGTGACCGCAGAGGTGAGGAAATACGATGCTGGGCCCTGTCAGTGATGCATGCGGCTACCCTGACGGACGCGAACTCCTCCTCGGAGAATGAAACGGCAGCACAGGCTACACGCAGGTGGCATGAGGCTCGTCCCGCGGACCCCTGGCTGGCTGGAGAGCGAACCCTGACCACCTTCAGGGATACTGACATTGACAGCGATAGCAGTGCTGGGGTGACTTGCCAAATTGCTGACAAGGTCATCTCCCTACTCATCTATCATTTCTAAATGCAATACAGTAGGTCACCGTCTGCTCCCCCTTTACCATCCGTTCTCATCACCGAAGAAGCATCCTTCTATTCACGGTTTACATTGCAAACCTTACAGAATCGAACCATTCTTATTTGGAGGTGTATTTCCTGCGAGAAATTACCCACATTTTTCATTTTTTTGTCCGGCTAAAGCTAACAGGTACTGAAATATGCTTTGAAGCGTAAAATTCTTCACGGGTCCAACATCCCTCATGTTTTCCGGTATCCCTTCTGCGTTGTCGTTCACTGTTTATCAATCA